CCAATTAAAATGATAAATAATAACTAAAATTTAAGCCTCTCAAACTGTCGTCGCGTAACGGCCGTTAATGATTTCAGGGTCATGCGGCTCGTGGCATACAGTGTGTGTTAGCAAAAGCGTTCGCCGGGGGCTATTTTATATTGTTTGTTGTGCATGTTGTATTGGTAAAAAATGTTAGCCTCTCAAACTGTCGTCAATTTTGTATTGGTAATAAAATTTAAGCCTCTCAAACTGTCGTCGCGTAACGGCCGTCAATGATTTCAGGGTCATGTGGCTCGTGGCATACAGTGTGTGTCATACAGCAATGTTCTATCTCATCTACCTGATGACAGTCAAGCTCGCACATCCAGACGTGACGACGTCGCTAACGGTCGATTACAGTCACACGTCGCTTCCGTTTCCGGCAGTCACCATCTGTAATCTGAACCAATATAATAAGACGGCGCTGGACGAGGAGGAGGCATATCGCAGCTACTTGTACGACGTCTACCGACAGACGATATTCGGCGACGAGGTGAACATGTCGGCTCACGACATGTCGCAGTTCAACCTCACCGATTTCATGCTGAAGTCGTACCTGCCGCTGTTCATAACTGACCCCGACTCGCCCTACATGTACAGTGAAGTGCTTTCGAAGACTCAGCGCTGCATCTGGCAGGAGAGGGAGATCTGCACGGAGACGAATTTTACGATGCTCGTCACAGAGAAGGGCGTCTGCTTCACGTTTAACGGCAACGCGCCAGAGGGCTCGCCAGAGGAGGAACCGCTAAAGGTAGGTTTCAGATCAACGTAGAAATCAGGTGCAATGAACGTAGAAATTGAACGTAGAGATCATTGAACGTTGAAATCAGGTGCAGCTTTTTGTGTGTGCGTGGTCCCTCTGCACCAAGGAGGATCCCATACGTAGCTTTTATTACGTACGGATTACCCCGTACAGACTGCAAAATTTGATATGGTATGTTGTCATTGATGTCATAATGATAATTATGATAATGAAATTAAAATATGACATGAATGTTTAATGCAATACATGCACACCGAGATGAGTGAGTACGAAATTCTTGCTGTGTCACTATAGTACTTCGCAGTTCAGCATTCTATAATACAGTAAAGCTAGGTTACGGTGATGCTATGTTTGTTGTGTTTACGCCAAAGTGGGTATACGCAAGCCTAATATCTCTTTGCTCTCGTACTATATTTATTTAACTTAGTATTTCCAATTTTTTTCCGGTTAATAAAATTTTCATCAGCATACACTATTCCCATAATATCCTTTCCTTGCACATCCTCGTGATTAACATCTGTCAAAATACTCACGTGTGCGGCGGATTTTCGTTGAGTATTTTGACGCATGCATCATTTTACTTGAGTAAAATTACTCACGTGTGCGCCGGGCTTACGCTTTTTAAGTTTTTTAAGATTTCACGTTACGTTGCGTTCCCTTTTGTTAACCCTAGTCTTGCATTCTAAATACTTCTATTTGCTAAACATTGTACAATTACTGTCTTTATTATACTATTCTTTCACGCAATGATAATTACGTTGGTCTGTAAATAATAATTGCACTACTGCTGTATTCACTGAAGTATTATTAACTATTTTCGTCTACCCCACAAAATGTTCTTCAGCCTACGATACTCTCACAACATATTTTCCTTGCACTATTTCATAGTTAACGTACGTTACAATATCGTGCTAAATCATGATAGTCTGACATGTCACGGTTAAGATACGTTACGTTTCCGCATGTTGCGTTCTGTTTCGTTATATTAACCTTTGCATTCTACTCTTCAACAAGCAATGTACAATTACAGTTTTTATAGAAGCTGTCTTTCACACTATGCCTATTATAATCTCCTTTTGAAACACATAAAGCTAGCAGCACACTTCACCATTTTCGTTGCTCGTAAAGGCAATTTTCGTGGTCGGCAATTTTTGTGGCCGTTGCCGCGTCACAGCACACTTCACCACAAGTTGTCACCACGAGCAATTTTCGTGGTGAGAAATCAAACCGGTTTGATTCTCGGCAACTCGTGGTCACCACTAAATTTTCGTGGTGAGTGGTCGCTGCCGACCCCGCACAATTGGCCATTTTTGTGGCGACCACGAAAATTGCCTGTACGAGCAACGAAAATGGTGAAGTGTGCTGCTAGCTTTACAGTAAGTGTGCTACTGCATTATCAAACTCTTGCACTGCATTCAATGTCCCCAGGCCTCTGCCAACATCAACAATCATTAAACAATCCAATCATCCAACAATCCATTTCATTTCAAACAATCCTTATCTTGCCCGAGCATCCAGGATACAATTGTTATATTATACGTAAAATTATGCGTGAATATTTCTTATATTTATTATAGCTAAGCACGACACGCTGAAATATAACAAGGACAATATCATTTACTAGGCTTGGTATATCTATGATTTGTTATTGATTCAATCAATCAATCAGCAACGTACAAATCGTTTTCCAATACAAAATCACAATCGACCGAGATGAGAATGAGAGAGAGAGAGACTGAAATCTAATGGCCCAGTCACACATGCGCTTCCGTCACACTATACGCCCCCGTCACACTAGAGATACGCTCATCACGATCGCCCCACGCTCAAAAAATTTGGCCGAGGGTGGTGAGAGCGTGGCCAATTGGGCCCCAGCGCCGATACGACGATCTCATTGCGCCCAACAAGCTTTCTCCACGCTGCATACCACGCTCAACACCACGCCCTGCGCGTATGCAGGGCTCATACAGAGCGCATACAGAGCGTATACAGGGCGCAAATGTTAAAAAATCCAACGAATGCACAGCGTGTTGCTAGCGCACGGAACAAATGGTCCGCGCATGCACCGCGCATTCAACGCACAGCCAGCGAACGGCAGCGGTCATGCATGCTGTGACAATAAGCTTGACGGTTTCGGGCTGCTGCTGCATCGTGTTTAGGAGAACTTGGAAACGGTTGGCCAGAATGCCGAAAAAAATTTCTACGATCCTCCTGGCTCGGGAAAGCCGGTAGTTCAAGATTCGCTCCGGCCGCGTCATACCCCGGAGGCTGTACGGCTTCATCATGTTGGGTCGTAGGGCAAAGGCATCGTCGCCGACGAAGAAGTAGGGCACATCCTGGTTGTCGCTGGAAAGAGGATCGAAATCAGGGAAGCCTAGACTACCATCTTCAACGCATTCATTCAGCTCAGAGGCATTGTAGATCTGAGCGTCTGATGCTGATCCCATACCGCCGATGTCTGCCCAGATAAACTTGTAATCAGCATCTATGAGCGCCATGAAGACAACGAAGTAGAACCCTTTGTAGTTGTAGTATAGGGAACCACTGTTTGAAGGACACTCGCAGTTAACGTGCCTGCCATCAAGTGCACCACAGGTATGGTGGAAGTTCCACCTCTCCATGAACTTGTCAGATATGGCACGCCATTCCTCAGGAGTATTGGGACACTTCATCACCTCATCCTTGTACTCATCGATGATGGCCTGGCACACTTCTGGGATGGGCAAGGATATGGTGTTGTGAGGCACCCTCCACCCGCAGGACATTGAGTGATACTTGGTCTCAGAGGCAAGATGCCGCAGAATGAGGGCAAGAGTCATGCCTGGGTCGACGGCCTCTCTGTAGGTTGTATTCTGCTTGGTGATCCTCGAACCCACTCTGGTTAGCAGCTCGTCGAACATCTTGGGAGGCATTCGCATGAAGTTCTTGAAGGCTGCCTGGTCTTCGTTACGGAGTTCAACAAGCAGCTGGTCATACAGGCTAAACTGTCGTCGCCTACCGATCCACGGTCGGACCCAAAACCTCTGTTGCCCTCTTCTCTTTCTCCTTCTCCTGATGACATGAACTTGGTGAAGTGCCAGTTGCATGAGGTTCTGCTGATGTTGGAGAACCGCGATTTCGTATTGTAGTCGCAGCCTGTCGGGATCCTCCATCTTCTGAGGTGGTTCTTCTAGACACGATCAGCAGGAACCTCTGTCATCACCCATGAGGGTCGGAGAAGTGATGATGAGGAGGTGGGAGCGGGACCCGTTTATATACCCCATGGCTACACGCTGCGTACACGCTAGGAACACGCTAGAAGAACGCTGGGCGCGCTACAGACTTGTTCAGCACTCGTTCAGCACGCCCATATTCGCTTCATGTTCGCTGGACATGCGTTAGAAGCACGCTAAAAATCTGGCTGTGGTGACTCACCGTGGATGTGTAACGTTGTAACATTAAAACGTCTCTATCGTTAATTATAATATTTGGACTGGAGTTTAATTATACATTCCTGAATCTAGAAGGTCAAATGTTAGTCTTCAAGTAGATTTTGCTCTATTAAACGGCTGTACTTTTATTCTTACATGTAAAACGATTATCCACACCGTATCACAGACTAATGCACAATACATCAAAATGCGTAATGTGCACACGGTATACTGTGCTACAGTCTGTAGTTTAATTTATTCCTCAGTCTGTGACCGGATTTTGTGAGAAGTTTGTTTTTTCTACAAACCATAAAAATAATAAAGACGATATAATTTCCACATTTTTTACTCAAATACCATTCATCACATTTATTGCTAAGAAGCTTAATTACAAGTGCTGGAGCTTCAGCAATTTACGATTCTGCTTGTTTCTAGGTTCGGAGTGCAGGAGGGTTACTGACTTCTATCAGAGATGAAACTGCATCTTTTCTTAGCCTCTTAATTTTTTTGATTTGTCTTTGCGTTTTTAATAAAGGTGGAAGGGATCGGGAGAAGGAATAAATGGAAAGTATAATAAAATGGAAAATAAGGTAAAATACAGACAGTTTGAATTTTTTATTAGCAAAATTATTCAGCATGTGTTGGTTTAGTTTTTATATTGCCATAAACAATAATGATATACTTCAGTGCCCAGCAGTAAATATTTGTCAACCGTATTTTTCTGTTTATGTATATTTCATGAAATCAAGCCTGGTACATGTATAACAACCCATGAATCACACGACGAGAAGCAGAGAAAGCAATGTATTTTACTAATTTCCCATACTAATAATAGTTGTATTTTTAAATAGGTACAGCATATCACATTTCAAAGCAGCCAGTAATTTTAACCCTTGTCATCTGTACACATAAATTGAGATGCCTCAAAATGATTCTCGCAAATTAGCAGATATTTGCATTGGCTGTCTTTTAACCGGTCAATGCCGGCTCTTCTTATGTTGCAGATCCACTTCCGAAGTTTACGTACATATTCTGATCGTTGCGGATATGCCATCAGAAAGCATAACCACTAACTCGTTGTCTTGCGTATACACGGTAAACTTTAATAGAAAAAACAGAGACTCGGATTACAGATGTGAAACGTGTGAACATTACATTAATATCCTTAATTCAAACATAATTGCCAAGTTACATTGATGAACGTTATAGGCTGTGTATCACAATTTGGAAGCCTTTTACTATAGATGCATC